GATTTCATAACGGCCAGGTAATTCTGTTCTGCAAATTATTTTTCAACCCATCTCTCGAAATCTATCTCGGATCAGATTCGATTTGCTACACGATAATGACACCATGAGACGATGTTAAATCTTCCACGATCGAAATATCACGATCCGGAAGAACCTATTATTAACGTTCGACAGAGACCTTCTCTAGGTCGTCGTTTTAAAGATGGCCGCCTCCAATTTGCATTTACGACGTATAAATAAAGAATCTTCCAAATTGCGACATCGTGCGTGTTCTTTGGAATCTNTATATATATATATATATATATAATCTGTCTCTCCTGTTTCTCTCCTCTATTTTTTTCTAAGATTCAAAGATTCACAAGACGAGTATAAAAATAACGTGTCATCATCATCATCAGATGTACAAATGATAATAGTATTAGTAGTCGGATGGAATATCTTGTACGATAATTGTTCTTTTTTTAAATCGAGATTAACGCGAGATTGGTGTGTTTATAGATAATGCTGTATTAACGGTCGAAGTCTTTAGACACAGGGAATATAAAGATTCCGTTAGAATACTTGATGCCTCGAAAGAGAGAATGAAAGTCGGCACGCGTCGTTTCTATCACGTAACCTAACGAAATCTGTTTCCTTAATGAACCGAGGAGAAGAATTATATAATTGCCGACTAGTTGTCGCTGGTGTTTCAGCATTCTTTTGAAATCGTTATTCAATGATCGTTTTCAAACAACAGAGATCGAGATCGTATATCGATATTACATTTAATCTCTTGTTTGGACGGAAATACGTTTCTTTGATCTGAATTTTCGGACGGAATTTTCATACTTTCTTATTTGTTCAACGATTTTTATGGAGAATGATATCTCGTCGGGATAAACGCGTACGTGTAAATGTTCGAATCAATGTCGCGATCTCATGAATTCCTTCCCCGCGGCGACATTTACATGCAACAAGAGAAAGCACTCCATATTGCAAAATCGATTTCTCTGCTTCGACCTTAGACGAAAACACTTTTCCTCTCTGTCGAACCTTGTGCTGGACCTTGATCCTGCTAATTCGAAAATCCTATTTCTCGATTATCCTTTGTGCTTTTATGTGTCACGTTTAATGTTTTCTTTCTTTCTTTTTTTTCTTTTTCAAATTAATTTATGATTTATTTTATATTTCATACAATCAAGAATCACTCAAAAAATATTTTACGATTATTCATCATGTTTTTAATGAAATATAGAAATAGAAGAAATAAAATACTTGTCGTTGATGCTTTTAATTATTATAAAAGTTAATTAACACCGGTCATACATGGATGTATATGTATATATATATATATATATATATTTTTGAGTCAAAATGTATTTTTATTAAATCAAAAATTCAATTTAATGAGGAGAGATATATATTCTACGAATGAAACGAAATAAATTTTGCGAAGGAATAACTCGCTTTTCAAAATTGCGGACAAACAATCGTGTTGTCGATGTTCACCACGAAGACAAACGAGTCTCTCAGCAATCAAGGTGGAAAGTGAAATCCACGAATCCGCACGAACTCGAGTTCCTCTTAAGGTCAACGACTGAAAATTGTTTTCGCACACTGATTAATTAGTACTCTAATCTCCCATGTACACACACACACACACACATATATATATATTTCCACTAATCCATTTCGATACACCTTCCTCCACTCTGAAAATTCTAATAAATTCGAAAACTTATTAATCGCGTTTCTATGATAAAGAATAATTTGGATTATAAATTCAACGTCGAGAAAAAAATATCTCTATCACTACTTTAAAGGCACCATTTGGTATGCGAAGGTTATCGATATCGATGATAATTCGACAAATGAAGATTCTCTTGTAAAAAAAAAAAAAAAAAAAAAAGAGAGTCGCTTCTTCTAACTGATTTGCATTTCATCGGAAATATTAAATTATCAAGAAAACTCTTTCCAACGAATTTTAAATTATTATTAAGATAGACCACTCGTGCTTATATTATATTATTTTTATTGCTCGCGTTCCACAACCTCGAATCGCTTCGTGCATGACTAATCTTGCTTATTAGGCACGTGATATTTCTCGATTTCGTTTCCAAAGTTCGTTTCATAAAAAGACGTCTCGTTTCCAAAATTCTGATGGAACGACCTCGTGCGCGTTCCAAATCTAAACGTACGATCGCGAGAGATATCGCGATGACGTGCAAATGATCGATAACGAAGACGAGATTGACATAGACTCTTCTTCTTCGTAACCTAGTTACAAAGTATATTTGTAAAATCCATTGAATCAATCTCAATCAATTGTATTCGAAAGACGGTTTGAAGACGTTTCTAAAAATGTATATTTCATTTTTGACCTTTTGCGCGCCATTTTCTATCAGAATTTTTTTTTTTTTTTTTTTTTTTATGAAAAAATTTATTATACAAGGTGAACAAGAGGTGGATAAAGAATAGCCACCTCTCCAAGTCAAGTTTTTTCTCTAATAATCGTGAATTTTAAATTAAAAATTGTGGAAGACGAGCTTGTTTCACAAGGGTGTAACATTGCAAAATATCCTGAATTCTTCCAAGCTTTGATCGATATTTAACCTGTGAAAGTTGTCTTGAACTTAATCTTGAACTTAGTAACCTACTTTATGCAATATCCTGTGCAATCCACTCATCGTTGCATTACGCCACATTTGCATTTGTGTAAATTTTAAT